CCCACATAGTGCCACAGCGTGAAAGCAAAAAAAGGTCATGCATTGAGAATGGCAGTGAGAGACGAGAGATGATGGTGACGTCGCGCGGGGTCAGGGTGCAAGCTCTTCGCGATGCCAAGCAAAGTACTCCTTGGACTTGTGCAGCCGCTTGACGAGCTGCTCCACCTGCGTGCGTCGCTCCTCCTGCGTGTCCTTGAGGGTCTGCTTGGCTTTGCGCAGGCTGTACATGCTCTCGACGCCCTCGTCGGCGGATGGCGTGGATGCATCGACGTCCTTGGCGAGCTGCACGCGTCGCTCGCGCTCCTGCATCGCCGCGTTCTCCTCGTACTCGACGCGCTCCAGCCGGTACAGTGTGTACTCGATCAGCGCCTTGATCGCGCTCGGCGCATTGGCTCCCATGCACACGCGCGCGTTGCTGGGCGCGAGCGACCTGGGAAGACCGAGGCGACCACCAGCCTCGGCGGCGGCGGCTGCATCCGACGACTCGTCGAGCGAGGTGAGTCCGCTATCGTCGCCTTCGTCCTTGGCCGCATCCTTGCAGTCCTGCAATGCGCTAGTCTCGCCGTTGGGGCCGTTGGCATCGGCTTGCTCCGCCTCGGCGGCTGCCGCTGCTGCTTGATTGGGATCGACGGGAAAGGCAGCTCCCAGAACCACCAGGCACCACGCGTACCGACCCTCGGTGAACTTGGGCATGCGCTCCTGGTACTCGCGCAGATGCCAAAACTCGCGGCCATCCACGTCGTATCCGAGCGGACCCGTGCGCACCGCATGCACGTCCACCGCGAGCTCCGAGGTGACGCGCGCATCCAGCCGTCGCCATGCATTGTCGTGCTCCAGCGCCGCCTTCTCCGCCTTCCACGCCTGGTACTTGGGCGACACGATGCTGGGCGCGCGCTTGTTGAGCTCCGCCAGCTCCGCGGCCAGCTCCTTCTCCATGTCGGCGTTGGCCGCCTTGTTGGTGCGCTCCTGCGCTGCGATGTTGTCGTTGGCCGCTTTGAGTTCGTCTGCCACACCGTCCGCCATGACGGCAGCGTCGATGAGCGCGCTCAGGATCGACACTTTCGTCTCGAGATCCGGGCTCTCCATCTCGCGCGTGTCCTGTTCCATCGAGACGTCGGCCTCCGACTTGCCGTTGACGCTGCCCGGACGCTGCTCGTCGGCCTGCTCGGCTTCGTCGTCCGAGCTGCCGACTGCCGTCCTGCGTCTCTTGCGGCTGGATCGACCAATGTCATTCTCGTGTTCGTCTTCGCCTGCGCTGCCGTCGTCCGAGTTGGCCTCGCTCAGAGCCGAGTCGGAATCGGCGTCGTGGTTCGACGGCTTGGAACGCTTGCGTGATTCCGAGGCGTGCTTGTCTTGCTGCTCCTGTTTGGCAGCCTGCTCGGCCTCCTCCTTCTGCTGCTCCTGCTGCAGACGGATGGCCTGCTGTCGACCCGTGAGTCGCACTTCGGGCGTGGGCTCCTTTTGCACCGGTCGGCGAGCGCGTCCCGAGCGACGTCCTCGTGCGCTGTCGTCTGGATCGGCTAAGCTGTCGTCGTCGTCGCTCGGGTCATCGTAGACGTAGATTGACTTTTTCGCCGAGCCTCGAGCGCGCCTGCCGCCGCGCGGCGCATCGTCGTCGTCATCGGCATCAGCGCCGGCCTCGCCAAACTCTTCCGCCTCCCATTCATCGAGCATGGAGAGCTGGCGCGCCATGTCGTACTGACGATTCTCCTTGGCGCGGCGTGCTCGCGTGACACGTGCGGCTGGCGGTGAGGGCGAGCGCTCGGCGGCGGCTGCTTCGACCTCGACGGGAATGTCGTGCTCGACGTGCGGCAGCGGAGTGCGGGTCAAGCCGAGCACGCCGAGCAGCTCGGTAGCCGCCGCCCACGGCTCGCCTCGCTGGAGACTCTTGCCGTGCGTGCGGAAGGCGGTGACGGCCCTGGCGAACGGCTTGGTGGGCTGGCCCTTGTCGATGTTGGTGAGGCCGGCGATGGTCTTGAGCAGGCAGGCGAGCATGTCCTGCACCATGGCGTGCGTCCAGTGCTCAAACTTGTCGAGCTGCGAGAGCACGGAGCGGTTGAGGCCAAACTTGTCGAAGCGCACCATGCTCTCGTAGATCCACATGCGCGCGCGCATGTTGTCCTCGGGCAGCTTGGTGGAGATGAGCTCAAACAGCGGCGGTGGCACCTCGGCGGGAGGCTTGAGCGGCCTGAAGATGGGTGCCTTGCTGCCTCCGGAGAGCATGGAGGCGAGTGCATTCTTCTTCTTTGCAGCGGTCGCCGAAACCTGCGGCGGGGGCGTGTGGATGCCGTCGTCGTCGCCATCTGCTCCGTTGGTGGCCTTGGAGTTGGCCTTGGCCTTTGACTTGCCGGTGCTCTTCTGTGCTGCGGCTACAGCCTCGGCAAGCGTGCGCTCCTTGCCCTTGGCAGCGGCACCCTTTGCGCCCTTGGCGGCGGCGGTTTTGGCAGGCTTGGCGGCATCGTCTTGGGCCTTTGCTTTGCCCTTGGCGGATTTGGGTTCTGCTGGTTTGGTGGTGTCGGAAGTTTTGGCGGAGCCACCCCATCTGCCGAGCGGCTCAAGGCCGGCTGCTTTGCGGCAGGTGGAGCAGTCGCACTTTTTGCGGCAGCGCGGACACTTCCAGGCGTACTTTGCCTCGGTGGGCGGGCAGTGTTCTGCGGGATTGACCATCATACGATTGGATTTGACGATGGTCTCTGGATCCTGGTCGTAGAAGCGGCGGAGGGAGGAGAAGCAGTATCGGACCTGGCAGCGCTTGCCCGGAGCGCGCATAAAGGTGCACTGGAGTAGCGCACCCTTGCAGGGTTGGTGGTGCTGGTGGCAGAGCTTCTGCACGCCGCCGTCTTGGTTGACGTGGGTGCGAGCACGGACGACATCGCTGATTTGGGTGCGTGAGGACGAGGACGGATGGGTGGACTCTGCTGCTGCTCCGTTGGCAGTGGGTTCGGACTTTCTCGACTTGGGCTTTGGTTTAGCGGCCGGGCTCTGCTTTGACGACGACGACGACTTCTTGAGCAGAGCAGAGGATGAAGCCGACTTTTTGAGTGCCGACTTGTTGGACGAGCCGGGCATGGCCTTGACCATCTCTTCGTCGTCGGAGAGTTCGGAGAGCGACTCGGCGTCCATGGTGAGGTCGATGTACGCCGATGACTGCGGCGCAGCGGGTGAGGATGCCATGTCGCGATTGAACCTCGACGCACGGCTCGTCCGAACCAGGTTGGAGCGTGGTGGACTGGAGGTTGGGCACGACAAAAGAGGTTCGCGAGGCCTCTCTTCTCCTTTCGTCTGTCACACACTCTCCCACGCTCTCACGGGGGCCAACGACTGCGCCAACTGTGCTTTGTGAGACGCACACACCCAGCTGCGGACCGCGTCCTTTTCTGCCCAGCCGGCTCAGTCTGTCTGTGTGCTCTCGGCTGTTCCGCTTCTCTTGCTTCTTCTCGAGTCGAGTGTGCATCGTCATCAACGCGTCGCGTGAGCTGTCGGGCTGCCGCACTGGATCCCTGCACGCTCGAATGCTCTCCAACACGGCCCAATTCCGCGCGCCCATTCTTCGAGTGTTGTAGGCTCGACCTAACAGATTCCAGCCTTTTTTTTTTGGAGGGCTGAGTCGGTGGAGCGCGTGCAGAGGAGGAGAACGCGAGAGGCACTGGCAGTTGCGTCGAGTGCACTTTCAGTCGGTGGGGCGCGCGCCTGGACCCGAACCACATAAAAGTGTTGGTCTCGCCCAGGCCAAGACGGGAGGGCCAAAGGGGGGACCCTTGATCCCGACTCGAGGAGGCAATCTACGCCTGCTCGCCATCGTCGTTCTTACTGTATCGCTCACAGTCGCTCTCAGCTCTACGGACGAGGCATTGGAAGCCATGCCACGCAAACGAAAGGGTCCCAAGCGCGAGCCTTCAGAGGGCAGCGGCGAGCCTTCCGCGGCGCCGGTGAATGCAGCAGCAGCAACCACCTCCGTCACGCCCGCACCCACCGAGCTCCGAAGACTGCCGTCCGAATCTCGCACCACCGACCTGGACGCTTCTGCTTCGACCAACAAACGTGCAAGAGTTCTCTCAATAGCCGAGGAAGACCGTCTCGGCAAGATCGTCGGTCTCGATCGCTGGCTCGAAGCTATCGGCCACGGACGCGGCGCCGCCGTCTGCATCTGTGGCGAGGTCAAAGCCGTCACGCCGCCGTCTTCATCCCACCCCGTCCTCCACCTCGAATTCCTCACTATCGAAGCCGACGGATCCACACCCGGCGGTCGTCTCGAAGCAAGATTCCACAGCGACCTCGCCCAAAAGGTCGCCGAGCCGCTTTTGCTGCTTCACAGAATCGCCCCTCCCACTTTTGTCTATCTCTCTGGATTCGCTGCCCTGCGCAGGTCGCCTCTTGACCGCAGTGTCGACTTTACCACCAACCATGCCGTCCTCAAGATCTCCGGTCAGCCTCCTTCCTCCAACCTCATCGCTCCTACGTCGTCCATCTGGGTCGAACAGCTCGCCACTCCTTCGGCCCCTGCACACGCACCTCCAAGCACTTCAAGTGGCGAGGCCGCGCCGAACCCGTCCAGTCAGACGAGCGATTGGTTCTCAACGCCAGTACCACAACACCAGACCACAGACGCCGCGTTCGCACCGCCCGCAAACACTACGGCCAGCCTCGCGTCCCTTCCGCCGCCGTGGCCTCCGCAACCTCGTCCGCCGCTTCAGACGTCTTCCAGCGCCATCACACCGCGCCCACCTGCGACCGTCAAAAGCGAAGCTCTCCAGCGATCCTCGTCCTCACCCAACCCTGCTCGCGCGTCATCGTCGCGTCCGGCCTCGGCAGCCCCGACCGCCCCTCATCGCAACGCACCACACGTCAAGCCGCGCCGCATGGGCAATTGCCTCTATACGCCCATCACCATGGTGCGCGACGGCGAGCGCGCCAGCTTCATCGGCGTCGTCGTCGCAGCCGGCGATCCGCGCAGGTCCACCGGCGGCACACGCGACCTCAGCATCAAGGTCACCATCGCCGACGCCTCGTGCCTCTCGGGCACCGGCTATGCCAAGGAGCTCGCACGCTCCATGACCGTCATGCTCTTTGCCCAGCAGACCGAACGCATCCCTCAGCCCATCGCACCCGGCCACATCTTGGCCGTGCGCAACATCAACGTCCAGATGTTTTCGGGCAAGCCCCAGGGCGTGGGCAAATCGGCGGGCGCATGGAGCTGGGCCACCTACGATCCCGTCTCGGGCGATGTGCGCGCGTCGGAAAACTTTCCGCTCGCCTCGCACACGCCGCCCGAATGCAGCGCCGACGAGATGGACCACTTCCGCGACATGGCCAATTGGTTCTCGGAGCTCCAGGGCGTCGATGCCAACGTGGTCACTCGCTCCGCCCGCCCCACGCTGCTGCTCAAAGACCTGGCCGAGAACGTCTTCTTCGACACGGTCGTCGAGGTGCTCAAGGTCTACACCCACACCCTCGCTCCAGACCTCTACGTCACCGACTACACCAAGCACACGCTCTTCTTCCGCGGCAACGACAAGTACCTCCGCACCGAAAGCACGATTCCCTATCCCGACGACACCGATGGCTGGGGCCACGTATTCCAGATCAGCCTCTGGGACAGCCACGCCACCATCGCAGAGGGTTTGCAGACCGGCGACGTTATCCGCATCCAAAACGTGCGCCCGAAGCTCAATCCGCGTGGTCTGCTCACGGGCGGTCTGGGGAGCAGCACCGACAGCGGCATCAAGATCCGCACGCTCAAGCCCACCGACGAGGCACGCATCGGCCTGGAGCAGCGACGCGCGCGCTTCCTCGAAACGCTCTTTGCCGCCGAGGAGGAGGCTTTCGCCGATCAAGCGGAGCGTACATTCGAAGCCGCTCCCGGGCTGCAGCCTCCGACCGAGACCGAGCCAGCTTCGGATGCGCCGATCCCTCCAACTCGCGCCTCTGCTGGTGCTGTGCCCGAACAAGCGGATGCGCGCTTGCAACACGCCAACCAGGCTGGGAATGCAGCACCGCAGCCAGACCATCGGGGTGCTCCTGCAATCGTCGGCAACAGTCCGTCTGGAGCGACCTCGTCACCCTTTCCCACACCTGCCCAGCGCCACACACGAGCGTTTCACGAGATCACACCTTCCAAGGGCATCGGTTGCGACAGGACTACAGCGCTGGCAGCGAGCAGCAACGCCAATCGCGACGTGGACAGCCTCGCCGAGCTCGAGGCGCCCGAACTCAAGCCAGGCATGCTCATGGGACCACCGGAGCTGAGCCTCGAGCAGCGTCGGCCGCTGATCCGATGCCAGGCACCCGCTTCGATCCCGCTGACGGCGCTGGCGGCGCTGCCGACGACGTCGCTGTGTCCGGGCATGTACAAGGTGCGCGCGCGCATCGTGTCGACCAATCCGCCCAAGGTGGAGCAGTGGGCGCGCATCGAGTGCAAGGCGTGCAAGCGGCTGCTGCCCGTCGACCAGCGCTTCTGCGTCAAATGCGGCGACGAGGAGGGCGAGTCGCTCGCGTACTGCCTGCGCTTTGCCGTCATGCTGGAAGAGGTGGATGTCGAGTTTGTGGCGCGCAAACAGCAGAGCCGCGAAGCGAGTGTGACCAAGGTGGCCATTCCGGTGCTGTTTCAGGGCCGCAGCTCGCAGATGCTGCTGCCGGGCGTGGATGCAAAGACGCTCTACAACGGCGAGCGACAGAGCATCCGCACGCTGCGAAGATTCCACAACCGTCTGCTGCATCCAGCCCAGTACGGCAAAGAACCCGAACAGACGCTCGCCGTCTACTCGTATCCGTCCAAGGAGGCCGATCGCACCGTGCGCCGATTCGCCGCACTCAAGGAACTCAACATCCTCCATTCGCCCCTGGATCTCTTGTAGCCATCTTTCGTTGCGAATGTCTCTCACGCTTCTGACCGGGTTGGCTGGCGATGTGCGCGACTCTGACGCTGAAAGATAGAGTGGGGGTTGGTGGTGCTGGAATTGCATCTATGTTGTACAAAAGTATGAAGAGGCGGGGGCTTAGGCGAGGCCGGCGGCTTTGCGAACTTCCTGGGCAAAGTCATCTGCGGAAGACTCGACGGGTGCAGCAGTCTCGCCGAGTTCCCAACGGTGCATGTCGAGCACCTGGACGGCATCCGCGTCGCTCGCCTCGAGCTGGTTGTGCGTAGCCCAGGAGCGCAGCACGTCTTGGACGGGATGTGCGCTGCTTTCGGGCGATGGCGCCGCAGCGGGAAGCAGCATCATAAACGGCTGGTCGTACAGCGCGGTGCTCACCTCGCCCTGCACCTCGGCGTTGTTGTCGGCATGCGCCCGGATGGATTTGGTCTGCATGCCGGCGGCCTGTCGGGCGAGACTCCTGGTAAGCGCGCGGATGTTGGTCTGGACATCATCACTCGACGACGCCAGCAGGTCCGGAAGCTTGGGGCTGGCAAAGCGCGTGGTGAGGAGCGAGGCGACCTTGCCGCTGGTGAGCACGTAGCCTGGTTTGGCCGCATCCTTGGCGGGCGCAAAGCCTGCGGATCCGCCGTGAGCGAAGGCGGAGGCGAGGTTGAGCACCGAGGCGCCACGGTCGGTACCCGTCTCGGAGCGACGAGGAGCATCTGCCGAGGGGGTTTGGGGGGGAGGGATGGCGGCAGCACGTGCGATCGAGATCTTCTCGCCCAGACGCGAGACGACATCGATGATCGCTGAACCCACCGTCTTGGGCGCAACACTGGACCCTTGGGCCTCGGGCGAGCTTGGCAGCAGCGGAAAGGCGAGCAGCTGGTCTACTGGAATCTGAACAAAACCACTCTGACCCTCTGCACGTGGTGCGGCGAGGGCGGGGAAGAGAGCGACGGTGTGTACGATGTCCTTGACGAGTTGGGTGAAGACGTCATTCTTGGCTACAAAGTCGGTTTCGCAGTTGACCTCGACAATGCCACCTGCAGCCGCACCTGTAGCTCCAATACCTGCACTGACGGCTTGATCCTTGAGCTGGCCTTTGAGCTCGACTGCGCTGGGTAGGCCGTCGGAGAGGACGGTGACGGCGACGATACCTTCGCGTGCTTGCCGTCCAGCGACCTTGTCGGCCTTCTTGGCTCCGGACTTTCGACGGTCGGCTTCGAGCCACTCGAGTGCAGCTTCGATCGAGTCCTCGTCCGGCGAAGATGCGGGGCGCGATGCGAGGAGGGCCTCTTTGGCCTTGATCATGCTCGT